CCCAACCCAGCCCAACCCAACCCAACCCAGCCCAACCCAACCCAACCCAACGCAACGCAACGCAACGCAACCCAACCCAACCTATATATATGCGCTCATATAATGTATATACGCTCAATTCACGCACTAGTATATAGTCTTGTTTTAGATGGTGTTGAACTTCGCATGACATGTGCACTTGATATTTGCTATCTGAAGTGTGTGTCTGTGTATTAAATGCTTTAGTGCGGCACTTGTACTGGTCAGAGTTCGTCCCATCCACAAGTGTGTGTAGCTTGAGCGAGCGTGCATAAGTGAATCATGACAACTTCGTGCCGGCTTGACAGTTACTACCATAGAGATAGTTATATTCATAATACAGACACTTTTACGTGTATGTATAAAGAACGGACATGTATCGCCTCGGTGGTATCCAGTATATACCCCCCATCATCTCTCTCACACACAAAACATTTGGTGAGCAACGTTTTTATTTGCGTTCAAAGTGCTTGTCCTCTATGAAGTAGTCGTCGCAGCCTTTGCCTCTGAGTACTCCAAACGCATTGACACTCTGTTCTGCACTATTGATATATCCGTATGTGCCCTCTATCTCAGCATACAATTATCCTGATGCCGCCATCGGCTTTTTTAACTCGTCTACTTCAAACACCCGTTAAACCACACAGAGATGCTGAGTGCATTTGACACGAATACCATGCCACAGTTTGTGCGGTTTACGACAGAGGTGGAGCTAGCCATCCGCATCAGCTGCGCTGTCAGGTGTGTATCAATGGAGAGTGTAGTCCATGGGTATGATTACCTCAGCCATTGATAGAAACTTCATTGACGCCCTGTGAATGGATATGAATATCTTAGTCATTGATAGATACTCTGTGGTTGATTATGAATATCTTAGTCATTGATAGATACTATGTGGTTGAATATGACTACCTCATTCATTGATAGATACTTCATTGAAGCCCTGTGAATGGATATGAATATCTCAGTCATTGATAGATACTCTGTGTTTGAATGTGC